AACAATGAATGTCGTGTCATAACAAGGAGTTCCTGCGTTCAGTCATCCTGTCTATCTATTTTAGATGATGTACAGCAGAATTCAGAACAAGACGATAGCCCCAATTCTACTGCTGAGCGCTACCAAGGCAAGCGGACGCTTCCAGTGATTGATTGGACCGAATTCTCCAAGGGACTACGAGTTCCATCACGGCTGCAAACAGTAGCACAGGCACCAGGTATCTGTTTTAACTGCTTTTCCAACTATATCTGACCAGTCTGCTGCCAAATGTGTAGTTCGCCTCAGTGAGAGGTTTGCAAGACAAAACCAAAGAGATAAAATAAAGGTGCTACTTTTTCTTCAGCATGGGTGACCATCGAAGTTAGGGTCGTCGTGCTTTAATTTTTTCAGTTTGAAACTTCTCTTTCTTCCGTCTACAGTAGTTGCCATTCATGTTCTTACAGCAAATCCTAAGGCCATATTAGATTACTTTCCTGGGTAGAAGATACCTTAGGCTACATGAACCGGCGACGCAATTGTGCTTTATTTGCGAGTCACGCTATTGACCTCGAAACTATCTTCCATAAAACGAAGGACTCGCAACAACTCCCAACAGGTTTCATCCTTGTAGCTATGCTCTACTGTCTTTTTTTGAAACAAACAAGAATTCATTTTGGCTGATGAGCGTCCATATAGTCCTGCAGATTAGATCGGACGATCGTCGTACTCTCCCACCACCTGTCTATCAGCCTTCACATCAGTATGTGAACAGTGCCTAGAAAGCATTCACTCTTTCACTGGCTCCTGTGGAGCAGGATACATCGGCCGAACAACGAGATACCTGGAAAGGAGGGTATTTGAGCACATACCGGCCTGGTTAAGTAAGAGTGAAACTAGATCGATCTCGAGTTCTATTTTCACACATCTTGTCGATACGAATCATCGAGCCGATACTTACCAAGCCTTTCAGGTTGTCTTACAGAAACTAGCTAACTTTTCCAAGAGCCTACGCCAACGGGTGCTTGCAACGGCTGAAGCAGTGACTATACGGCTAGCGAATCCAGTGCTGTGTTGTCAGAAGACGCTGACACAAGCACTTGCACTTCCGTCGCCGACCCCGACGTCAGGTGGCAATCGCATTTCGCCCCCACCCCCTAGTGACAGCCGTTCGCTTCGTGTAAATAGCAGCAATTATCCCTTCATGTTTCTGATCTCGGATCAACGCCCACAACCTAATTCAATCCCCTCCCCTTCCCCCCCTTCTCCGCATAAGGACCTCTACATGCTGACCACACCATGTTGGCGTGTAAATGATGAATTGTTATCAAACTACCCTTATTAACCCTGTACAGTTTTCATTACCCTGGCAAATGATTTGGCCCGATGACGATTTGCTGAAAACATATGTTTGCTAAATTAATAATGTTAGTTTTGGTGCAGTTTGATTTTTAGGGAAGGTAATTTAGTTTAGTAAAAAGTGGTTATTTCAGTATATTTATCTAACTTCAGCGGTATCTAACTAAATAATAAACTTAAAAATAAAAGTAAACTAAAGTGAAACTAAATATAAAAGACGCTGTATGACTAGGGGCAAGGGTTCTCTAAGATGGTCGACCAACGTTCTTGTCACCAACATTTCTCTAAATAACTTACTGACAGCCAGCTTTGCCAGAAGAAGTTGCTCAGAGCCTTCGAATTATTACTGTGTTTATAGTCGTTTATTTAATTTGTGTGAAGATTGAAATTTCAATAATTTGCAAAGTGTTTAGTAATATAAGCGAGCGTTATTTGCTTCAGTAAGAATTTTTCGAGAACGTGAATTGGAATGCAAATTGACCTAACCACAGCAGAGGCCGAAGTGCCATAAATCATTCGTGGTCGACTGTTAATTAAGCCTCGACAGCTAATGTCGTCTCAAAATTTAGCAGCCAACTGTCATTCAGCTAAGAAAGTAAGGAGAAATGGCATTTCACATAAGTGCATCAATCATAGTTCTCTGTTGGTGTTTCCGAACACCAATTACCGAACATCAATTACGGGGGTTCCTGATTATGAGAATTGCAGTGTAGCCTAAAATAGCTATTAACCGGTTCCAACCACTTATTACATCAACTCTTTTCAATTATGTTCTGCGAGTATTCTTAATTTGAGAAGTCAATTTGGCCAACATATGTTTTCAGCAAATCTTCCTCAGATCAAAACATTTACAGGGATAATGAAAACCGACACTCGGTGATGTTCTTGTGACCACCGCAATCTTCTCCTCGTGTGACCATTAGGATATTAAGCAACCGCGATGGCCTCCTGACATGATTCAGGCACTTTTTAAGCAGCAGGACATCCGATTAACATATTCCCTTCGCCTTCCCCCCCACACAGGCGACAGTTTTTCTCCTTAAAATCCCACAAATGGCATTC